ATTTTTCAATTTTTGTTGTCATGTCCTAGGATTTATGTATTCATTTATTTAGAGCTCTTTAAGCCCTTGTCAATAAATAAACCCTCAGAAGAGTGGTAAATTATAATATAAATATAGATATATATATAAAACTATGTTCTGAAGTTTCAAACTGAGTGTAACATGCTTCACTGTTTCATCTGATAATAAACCTCTAAAAACATGGAAAAAACATTCTGTTGTAATCTAAAAAGAACAAAAATACATAGGATTGTATCACATATGTTAGGTAACTTTTTCATTCTGATAAAGTCATATAAAATACGGGCTGTCCTATGCCCTAGAGCATGCTGACCACCGTCCTGGTCTCTAACCAACCCCAGTCTTGACAATCTAAAGTGTCTCCTGAAGTTGTTCCATGTCCCCTGGGTGGCAAAATCATCCCTGGCTGAGAACGGCTGACATAGAACCCATTACTACAATGACAACAGAGATTTAAGTTCATTTTCATAGTACATTTTGTTATTCTTTCATTTTGAGCAACCTTTTTGACGTTGTCAACCAGGGAAGATGGCAAGGCTTTGCCAAAACGAGAATGTAAAACTTCCTCTCTCCCCAGATCATCAAAGGACCATGCACACTGTCGTTTGATGAAGCGCACATGTGATCGGTTATCTCTGTGTCACAGCGATAGCCCTGCTGCTCACAGGCGACACCGTTGACTAATCTACTTCCTTCTTCAGAAATGCAACAGCCTAGAAACTGCAAGTATCAAGCAGTTTTTGTCCACTCAGTAGGACCTACGTCTCACTAAGCTGGGCAACGGGCAGGAAGACCACAACACAGGGCTGTCGAACCCTGCTGGGTTTTACTCTGTTTACTGATAACAGCTTAACTTTGAGCAAACTTTACCACAGATATCTTTTCAAAATATTCCTTTTCATGTCTTGACATTTAAGAGGCTTTATGTTAATTGCTTAGATTTCTACTTCATAGGGGAAAGGCAACAGTTAGAAACTTTGAAACGACTGGACTATAAATAAACCCAGGCTATTTTCTTTTCATATTTACCTATTACATTCTGGCTTGCTCTTTGATGAAAAGCCGAAGTTGTACAGACTTCATGCACATATACCATTTCTTATGAGGACTATAATGAGGCTCTCTGAAGCAAAGCCTATTCATCTAGGTTATTTGCAAGACTAGATCAATGAGCCACTTATTTCAAGCAACATTTGGTGCAAGATCATACCACCAGTGTCACCGAGTTTGAACAGGGTTTGTGATCTATTATGTTTACTCTTGATCGTGGTTGAACTTTGAGCCTGTTTTGCTGACTTCACTCCATTGTGCATCAAAGGCCTCAAGGAGAAAAAAGGAAAATCAGGCAGTTTGATGTTTGAAAATAATTCTGAGATAATGTTTCATTCAACAGAAATTTTTTAAACTTCCTTTACCCATTATACTTTTTTCAAGACCTCCCACACTTTTAAAGGAGTTTTCCTGACAAGAATACCCAGGTGGTGCCACATCTAAAAAAAACTGATGTAAAGAAGAACAATCTTTTAAAAATTTATTCCCATGCTGTTTTAATAAGGAACCAACAAGGAAAGAGGGAACACATTGTTCCTCTCTTCCTCAGCAGGGTAGACTAGAGAACAGAGAAGTGGAGAGAAGTGAAGACTTTCTACTGTATTGAAACTTATCCAGATAAGGACATGGATGGATTTCCCCACATCTTGCAAAGTAAAACTTCTTCATTCTTTTGAAAGTTTTCAGTTTTTTTACTTTGACTTTCTTGAGGCAGGTTGAAAGATTTTTGAGAAATTCTTCCTTCTTTAATTAAAAAAAAAATATATATATATATATATTCAACAGCAACTGTCTGAAGAAGGGGAGAAAAAAGGAAAGAAACAAGAGAAGCCACAAAGCCCCAGTCGCACTTAGTTCCTGTTCACTCAGGGCAGCTGGTGACGTAGGCTGGCTGTATTTTGAATTCACATATTAGAAACATTCATTCAGAGAGGAAACTGGCTTTGGCATAATCTGCAGAAGAAAACAGCTTTCACAGAACTGTTATTCAAAAAGAATCACAGAGAACTGTACTTCTTGTTTAAATGAACCTTAGCTTAGCTCTAACGGGGGAATAGCAGGTGTATTTTATGGTAGGTAACTTCTGATTTAAAATTTGAACAAAGTTTCATAAACAATGATTGGAATCGGAGAAAGAATCAGACCCCAAAGCCTGAGAAGCAGAGGGTTTGGGGTCTCACTGATCAAAACAAGGGATTTAGCAGAGGGAGGCTTGCGCTGCTTTGAGTTGAGGTGTCTTGTCTACCTCCAAACACACCTTTAAAGCAGCTCTGTCTGTAACATCAGAACCCTAGCTGAGATCCCTGAAGCACCGAGCTCTCTCCCAGGCCCCATGCTCACTGGGCCCTGCCTGGCCCGCTGCGCGCTTCCTTGTTAGGGTCTGCGGGACTCTCCCTGGACTGGAGCTTTGGCGTCTGAGCCTTCATATCTCTACCTAGCATCTAATTTTGTGCAATAAAGAATAATTCACTTATTAAAGACACTCAGGTCATTCTTTTCAAGTAGAAGCTTACATTTCAGAAACAGGAAGATGATTTCTAGCCTCCATAATTTCATGGTGTTAGACCATTGTATGTCATATACCACTGCTCTGCTCACAATATTTAGACAGTTCCATAGCAACGCTGAAAACACAGCCCCCACAGGTCTGCGTTCCTCCTGCTCTGTGTCAGGGCTTAGAGACATTCCTGAGAGATGGAACCCCACCCCAGAGCGCTGCATCTGGAATGTTCCCTTTATGGTAGTCACTCCAGAAACCTGGAGCAGAAGTGCATCTTAGGGCTTTGTATTCAGTTCTAGAAACGTCCCCCTCGTGCTTGCAGACTTCAGCTTTTGTTTATAAGGCATTCAGAAATCCTCTTCTTCAATTCTGAAATGGGCTAATAACATTTGACTACTTTATAGTTGACCTTTCTTGTTCTTTTCACAGTAGAAAAATAGATTATCACCTTTACATTATCTAAAATGTTTGGTATAAAAATATTAGTGGAGATTATAGAGATGCAAATATCTTCCTAAAACCTGGTTCTCTTTCCATATGCTTCTTGAAATTCAAAAGTAAATTTCTTGTTTTGGCTTATTGTTGACCCAGAGAACAAAAATTTACTTTATTATACTATCCATTTGCATTAAAATATGTTTTCTACAGTGTCTGGAATAGAGATTTTACTTTATCTTATTTTTTTTTTTTGTAGCCACACTTCAGTTTATTGGCATCGTCAACCTATGAGTGAGACAGGACGCTCCCCATGAGGTGAGATTGTTCTCTCTCTGCCATCACACGTGCCCACACAGCTTCCCCTCAGAAGGGCAGCATTTCAAGCTGAAGTTGGGGTAGATTATTTATTCCTTTTTCACTTTCACAATTTTTACGTTGCTGCCAGAAGCCTTCTCAGCGTTTGCTCTGAATTCTGTCTTCAGGGCATCTCTCACTGCTTTTGCACAGATCTGAGAGTATCGGGTGTAGCTGAGTCCAGCCTGTCGCCAGTAGGCCACCATGATGTTGCGCGCTGGGTCAAGTCGCGAGGACCGGTCAACGTCGGCTCAGCGCACGGCCCAACTTATCTTATTTTTTTAGTAGCTTAAAACAACAAGTATTTATTTTCTCACAGTTTTTTCAGAAGTAGCTTAGCTGAGTGGTTCCAACTCAGGGTTTCTCATGAGGTTGTGGTCAAGCTATTTGCTGGGACTGTAAGTCATCATATTTCATATTCTTGGCTTTGTTATACAGTGTTCAACAGATTCCCTCTCGCCTCTCTTTTTCTTTTTGAGTTTAAATCTGCTGTGCCATTTGTCATTAAGATATCATCATCCTTCTGGCTGAACTATTTAGTCTCCTGATTTCCTTGGAAAGCGGGGCCACTGATTGAAAACATCCCCATATACCACTGATCAGAAAGGAGCCTTGCATCATGTCCAGGGGTCAGGCTGGGGCAGAGGGACCACTCAAAGTCCCCAGGCCTCCATCGGCATCAGCTGGTTAGACCCAGTGAAGACGAAACACGACATTCAGTCTTGGTGCTTTCTAGGGCTGCGGGGTCTCAGACTTTGATGTGTGCACAAGTCACGTGGGCACCTCATTAAGATGCAGATTCTAACTCCTTAGTTCTGGGATGAGCCTGAGATTCTGCACCAAGCACAGAGATTTTAAGTAAATGTTGTTGACTGCCTCTCGTCACTGTTGGCGGCCCCCTCTACCTGATTCTCTTCTCCATCAATCTTATGAGCCAAGTCACTACCTAACTTCTACTTGCATTTTGTTCAAAATATCTTCCTAAATTTTTGTGACTCTCTAATCACACAGGCACTGCTTATGTCCAGATTATGTCCCCTCACGTGGGGTTAACATGATGGCCTGATTCTTTATTACTTTTCAAATGTTCCAGGTAGCACTTTATAAAAAACACAATACTTTATACAGTCATCACATTTGATCCTCAAAACAACCTGTGTGATAGGCAAGGCAAACATCATCTCAGCTTTGCCAACAAGGAAATGGGTTCAGGGAGAGTGAACTATTTTCTCAGGGTCGTGAAGCTACCAGGTTGCAGAGCTGCAGCTCTGGCCAGAATCCCAGTTCCCCAAACTATTTCTGCCTTCTTAAGGCCAAGTAACAATAGCACCACAATAAAACCCACTGAAAATTTCAACATGTCTAGAAGACATGTAGCAATTTAGCACTGGAAACGACCTCACAGATGACAAAATCTACCAGCACCCCACTTCATACAATGCAGCTCCAGAGACTCAGGGACCATGTCCGACACTGCAGACCTGATTACAGACTCGGTCACTACTTGAATCTACTGACTTCAGATACAGCATTTTCTGCTACACTTTTCAACCTTATTCCTTTAAAAGCCCCCAGCATTTTTAGCTTTCCATAATATGTGCCAGTGACCTGTCCAATGTCAATTTTGGCCAGTCTCATAGATGCGTCTCTGCCAAAGACAGGTTCTGTCTCCTGCTCTCCAGCAGCTGGACCACACTCACGTTACCTCTGGATGGTAGTTTCCACTGCTCACCAGACCTGGCGCAGAGTCCCTGCGGTCTTTCCAAATCTCAGCCTTCATCAAATTCTACCCCCTCCTCAGAGCCCTCGCTGCCTTTCTGGCACCTTAGGAAACCTCTCTTCTTGAAGTCCTCAGAGTACTGGCAGTTCCTAGCACACATTTTTTTGTACATCCTCATGGTATCATCCTGGTCCCATATCACCCCTTCCCCAACACTCAGTGTCTCCTCACTGAGGACAGCTGATACACAAAATGCTATTTCTTCTCCCTGGGACATGCTTCCCACCCACATATGAAGCCATCTGTCAGGTAAAACACTGCTTCTCCCATGAGGTCCTGGCTGATGTCTCCACGTGATGGAGGAGAGCACTCTTTGGGCTTCTTAGCACATTCTGTACGTTACTCCTTCACATCAGATGTCTGATGATATCGCTGGTGTCTGCACGTCTGTTCCCTCACGGAAGACTCCTCATCATGACACAACTTTTCCTCTGCACTGACTGCAAGGCCCATCACACAACTGGAGCTTAGTATGTGTTAAATGAATCAAAAAATTAAATGTGCATGCCCGTAATAATGAAGACATTCTGTACCCTGCTAAACTTAAGAAAACAAATACAGACTTTGAAGCTTAGAGGGGAAAAACTCACCAGGGAAACAGGATCTGGGTACCATTGGCCTGGGCCTAATTCCTCCAGCAACTACAAAGCAAGGCTGGAGAAAGACCAAGCGGCATCTTGCTGAGACATGATTGCTCTCTCAGGAGTCGGAGCCTCACGCTTAGAGGTAACATCTTGCCTCCAACTACACTTCTCAGAGTTAGAGCCACTATCCTCATATTATGACTGTACTGAACTTGCTATTTCTTAGCTCACCTGATTTTCTTTTTTTAACTGAAGTATATTTGATTTACAATGTTGTGTTAGTTTCTGGTGTACAGCATAGTGATTCAGTTTTACATATATATATATTTCTTCTCATATTCTTTTTCATTATAGACCATTACAAGATACTGAATATAGTTCCCTGTGCTATACAGTAGGTCCTTGTTGTTTATCTATTTTATATATAGTAGTTAGTACTTATGGATCCCACTGAGCTCCTTCCCCCTTGGCAACCGTAAGTTTGTTTTCTATGTCTGTGTTCTATAAATAAGTTCATTTGTTCCTTTTTTTTTTTAAAGATTCCACATATAAGTGGTATCACATGGCATTTGTCTTTCTCTTTCTGGATGACTTCACTTAGGATGATGATCTCCAGGTCCATCCATGTTGCTCCAAACGGCATTATTTTATTCTTTTTTATGGCCGAGCAGTATCCCACTGTATAAATAAACACAACCTCTTTATCCAGTCATCTGTTACCAGATTTTCTTAAACCTAAATTTTAAATTTTTGTTCTAAGAAGACCCTCCACCTACTCCCCAGGGGACAACTCTGTAGTCATCTTTCCACAGACAGCATTAGGGTCGTTTCTGTGATGGCTGCTCTGCTTCCACACACACTTCTTTTATGTTTCCAAAACCCTGCAGGCAGAACTCTACTTAAGCATTTAACCCATGGGACTGAGACTCGTGTCTGTCTCCCTGATAGACCATGAACTACACAAAAGCGTGGAGTTCACCTACCTCATGTACACTTTTCAAAGCTCAGCGATGTTTAGCACTTTTCATGGAGCAACTATACACTAATATATTTAAAAGTTGGGGGAGGGGAGGAAGGTGGCAAGACGCAAAGACATCTTTGCAGCTAGTGTTCTGGATGCAAATTAGTTTCTGTTGATTAAAAGATTTAGAAGCACAGCAAAGTCAAAATGCTCTTCCTCCTTCTGCTTGTGGGTGAGGCTGTGGAAACAGGAGCGTTCCTGCCCAGCCCCTATTCACAGCTCCTCGCCTCGCTTGCAGCTCTGGGAATCCACTTCCTAGAGTCCCGAGTGTTGGAAGACAGTCAGGGACAGCAGCAACAGCTTCTTAATTCCAACATACTAATACCTGCAGTGCAGTTCCAGGAATTATTCTAGAAGTCAGAGCTCTGGTAAAGACTTCGGAGGTGGGGTCAACCTGGAGGCCCAGCCCAGAAGCTTTGCTTGTCACTTCCAATATTTGTGTAAGCACATAATTTCCTGTATTAAAACACTTCTTGCTTAAAATACCTACAGTGATAGTTTCTGTTTCTTACTCATCCTGTCCGATACAGTAAGAAGGAATAAGAGGATGGGGGAGCGGAAGTGGGGGAGAGAGCAGAGATCGGGGGGGGGGGGTGTCCCTGTCTGGAAAAGCACAGGCTATGAAAAGAACTTGTGCTACGTGACCACTGATGATGGCCACCTGACCTCCCTTTCTTAGAGCGTTTACTAGAAAGGATCTACAACTGTGAATCCTGCCTCTGTCCCTTTGAGATGTACTGTATATCCTACAACCCGGAGTGTCGTTCTCAAGGACCCAAAAGCCATTCCTCTGAAAGGTAACCATCAGGAAGGAGAGGGTCTCTGTCTCCCAGTCTCTGAGGACAGATCCTAACTTCCACAACCACCAGCTCGCAGACACCATGGCTTCAATTGTGCCCTGACCAACCTCTTACAATCCTCAATTACCTGACTCTATCCGAGCCCCTACTTGCTCCCCTCCCTTTTCCTTCATTCTGCCTTTAAAACGCCCAGGTCTCTTTGTGCAAATCTGAAAGGAGTTCAGCATTTTTTCCCACTGTCAGTAGTTACTGAATAAAATCTGTTTGTACCAGTTTTACTAATGTCTGGCTTTGCTTATCTTCGACAAGAGAAGGTTTATCTTCTTTTTTTTCTTTTTCTTCTACTCTTATTAGATTCACTTGTTATCCTATCAAATCATAAGAATCTAATTTATTTCCTCTATGAAAACCTTATATTGCTTTATTTTAAATTATGAAGATTACAAAAATGCCATAATGATTTGCGATGGCTATAAAAGCACATTTTCAATGTATCTTTTAACAGGGGAGATGTTTTCCAGAATTCCAGAGATTTTCTCCAGAAACAGCTTTCCCTGATTTTTACCTTAAGTCTGACAGATGAGGTAAATATCTCAAGTACCACTCAGTATTATGAACCAGTCAATAAATGTTAGAAATTTCTAGTCTACTTACAGTTTCAGCCTGAATATGAGCGGAAAACTTCCCTTCAAATTTCATCTAAAAACCTGTGATTTAGTGTACGACCTATGAACCACGAAATAAACTCACACTAATAGAGTCATTTTTGCCAGCTGGTTGCAAAAAGAAATTCCCATTGGTGGTTCAAAATGGAAATTTCTTGGAGTAGAGATAGAAGTCCCATTCTTTCTTTGGCCTTTGATTAAACAGAAACGCTTCAGAGTAGCCCAAATTCTTTGAAATTTATAACACACATTTACAAGACACCACTTGGAACTATCCTCATTTCATGTCACTGTTAGATTTGTGCATTTGCAGGAAATGAGTAATTCATCAAACATGCAGAGTCCCATGATTTTCAGTTCTCTTGAGGAGGTGAAAACAGTTGTTTAAGAGGGACTTGGAGATACTTAAAATTTTATACTTGTTAAATGTTTCTGACCTGGAAGGCAGACACTGCTGACAGGTGCAGATCTGGGTTAAGCTTGAAAAACGTTAGAGAAATTCCCCTGTTGACTAAGAATCAATTCGCTGTAGTCCCAAGAGCTGGCCTCTGGACATCCCCTTTGAACTCTTTTTTTTTCCTTCAAAGGGATTCATGCAAGGAACTGTGATTCACTGAATATTCTTTCCTAAAAAGAAAGCACCTCCATGGACAACTTGGAAATTTCCAGTACTAATATAACAAACTTATTATAATTTTTTTCACTATTGTTAGTCATTTCTAATGAGGAACCCATGGAAAATGTGAACACTCTATGAGCTATGACTTGAGAATCCGTTGGTCTCAAGCAATCCTGACCTTGTATTAAAAAAAAAAAAGAGCCTTCACCAAACAATGTGAAGTCTTCAAGAGAGATTAATATTTGTGACACAATATTGGGATTATAATGCTAATTAGTTGGAATAACAATATTATAAAAACAATAAATTACAATGTTCATAATAGGGGAAGGAAGGTAGCCTTTTGGAACTACAAATATTATTTCCAATTATGCCAACTCTATCTTGACATAAATATCTTTCATTTCTATGAGATACCAAGGTAGTGTTAAAAAAAAAACAGAGCTAGATGGTAGTTAAAGCAATAAAAACGGATTTCATTCAGGAGTATTGCAAGAGGAGAAGAGAGATCTCAGTATAGGTCTGGGCTCAGTTCTGAACACAGCTTGGGCACTTATAGCCAAGCGGTGGGGTAAGGGTCAGTGGATGAAATTACTAAGAAGAAATATCAGGGGTAAGGGAGTATTCTGGCCAAACCGACACAACAGGATTCCTGCTGAAGACTGGCCAGGTGATCAGACATCACCTGGGGAAGGTGGAGGATGAGGAAACCAGTTAGACATTGAGAGCGATTGGACACGGAGCACGGGGCAGTCTTACTAAACTAACCTAGTATGAATCTTGCTAAAACTGGATTTTTCAAGAAAGTGGGCCTGACAGAAGGCTTAGAAGCCCGACTAAAGTTTGACCAGGCGAAGAATCTTTGCCATTAGAATCTCCATGCCTGAGGAGATTTTCTGTACCAAGAAATTTAGCTAAAATGACAGATGGCATGTCCCCACCTTTTAAGAACATTTCCTGGAGATTTCCCCCATCACTTCCTTGTTACAAATTAACAGCAATTGGAAAAAACACTCCTGTACAAAAACTATGACTCAACTGTCAAAAATAGGAGGGCACAGGAGACAGGGTGAGAGGAAGCAGATGACTTTCTGGACGCAATCCTGATTGAAAGCCGTATTTTAGGTTTCCATCAAAATCGTGACCTGAGATGAGAGCCAAGGAGAACTGTGGATGTACAGAGGCAGATGGCAGACTGAGGAAGGACCCGCGTCTGAGGATCGCCTGAGGGCTCAGAGATACTGCGTTAATGGTTAAGTCCATTAAGGGGACTCTGAATCACCCTCCGGCGATACTTTGAGGTGGCTTCTGACAGATCTAGCAGTTTATGGTTGCCAGGTTCTGTTTCACTAAGATCACAGAGGTTTTCATTAACATCTGAGCGGCTGAGATCCAGTCTCTGTGCATACTTTTCATAACACAGTTACTCACTTATGAAGGAGATGCTGCTGCTTCCTTAGTCCGCTCGGGTCTTCCATTTTCACGTGGTCAGTGACAGCGCTACAGCCCCCACCATCCACAGAAAATGCTGACAAGCTTTCTGTACAAGTGCACGTCCATCATTGATCTTGAGTCACAGAAGTATCTCCATTTTTAATTAAACATGAACTTTTTTTAGCCTATTGCTGCTGAAAAGGTTTTGGCGCAAAATTAAAAAAATAAATAAACAAGGAATTGTGCATTTATATTACATGATAAATAAAAAAGTGAAACACTCTTGCAGAAGCATTTGGACACGTTCTTCAGCAGGAGCACTCAGTTTCTATTTCCTGGCCACGCTTTACAGACAATGTACTTCCCATTGTCCACATTCCCCAATGACCCCACCCATGTGAGGTTTTGCAGCTCTTTTCACATCACACTCATGACACAGACTGTAGCAGGGCACAAACGGCTGGTGTAAAAAGACACTAGCTATGAAAAAAAGCTTCAAGTGCTTCTATGGATATCCCCACACCAGAGGAATTTAGCTGTCTCTAGCTCCTGTGGCTGTCCCATTAGCTCTGAAAAGATGCAGGAAAATGAGAGATGAGTTATCACTCAGTGCTTTTCAGATTTAACCATGTGTGAAGGAAGAATTCTATTCCCTGTCAACTGATTCACAAGCTATTAGATAAGATCACAACACAAGCTGGAAATACATATAGAAAGGTCACAGAGTCCACTTTATTGTATTTTAATGCAGTGATTCATGAGAGTACTTCATGAAAACATGAAAAATCTGGGTCAGGACAAATGCTAAACCAGAAAAGATGACTGGACATAAACATGAATATGAAGCATAAGCCAGAGCTATTTGTGTAAACCAGTAACGAGTGTGGAAAAAATATCAAAGAATGAATACTGGCATTAAATCACAAGTGAAGTAATAGGAAAGCAGGCAATTCATACTCTAATTTTAATTTTTTTCCTATTTCTTTATAATACACTTTATATTTGAGAGCAATTTTAGGTTCAGAGCAACAGGCAGAAGATGATACAGGAATTTCCCATGTACCCCCTTGCCCTATATGTGCATAGCCTCCCCTGTTATCAACATCCCCCACCAGACAGTACATTTGTTACAACTGATGAACCTACATTGATACATCCGGATCACCCAGAGTCCTTAGTTTACATTATGGTTCATTCTCGGTGTCGTACATTCTATGGGTCTGAACAAATGTGTAATGACGTGCAACCACACAGAGTGATTCACTGTCCTAAAAACCCCCTGGGCTCTGCCTCTTCATACCTCCATTCCTCATTAACCTCTGGCAACCACTGCCCTTTTCACTGTCACCATAGTTTTGCTTTTTCCAGAATGTTATACAGGTGGACTCAAACAGCATATAGCCTTTTCAGGTTGATTTCTTTCACTTAGTGCATTTAAGGTTCCCCTGTGTTTCTTCATGGCTTGATAGCCATTTCTTTTTAGGGCTGCTTAATATTCCATGCCTGGACGTACCACTGTTTAATTTTACTTTGTAAAATACTTTCTCTTTAAAAAAATTAAGATATTTCAAATATATAGAAAATTTTGAATTACAGCACTCATATCCCAATTTAATCAATGTTAACTTTTTTCTATTTATATGAGAAACTTTTAAAAGAAAATAATTGAGTACAAAACATTTACTTTCCTCTATCTCAGAGAGAAATAATGACACTACAGCTTCTGTGTGCTCTGTCACCATGAAAAATACTGGGTAACAAACTACCCCAAATCTCAGTGGCTGAAAACTACAATCTTTTATTCTCATAGACCTGAAGAAGTGCTGAGGATTCGGCAAATGCAGGCTGGGCTCTGCTGAGTGAACCCATTCAGACGTGTGAGAATTAGCTGGGGGACTGCTGAGGAGGGCTGGGCTTAGCTGGGGCCCCCTGGCTCTCCTCCGTGTGTCTCCCCATGGACTGGCCACTAGCCTAGATGAGCCCTTTCCCTCACCATGCAGGGGCAAAGGACAGCAAACAGAAATGCCACAGCCTCTTGAGGCCCAGGCCTGGAACTGTGATACCATCATTTCCATCACATACTTATGGTCAAAACAAGACACATGGCCAAATCCAAAGTCAAGAGGGGGAAAGTGCAGCTCACACATCATGGGAGGGCACTGTTGGCCACAGTTACAGGTCAAGTGGGCTGTGGCTACCAAAGGGTGAAAAACTGGGGCCAAAAATGCAGTCCATCTCAGCTCTCATCCATGATTTCACACTCTTATCGTTATGTCTAGATCCATAAACATCGAATTAGTTGTTTGAGTATTTTCAAATTTTAAAGTTTACAGAAAAGTGATACAGTAATTTATTTAACCTAGTACATTTTGCCTCTTGTAATCATTTTGTTTGTAAGGATTATCCATGCTCATCAATAAATTTGATTTTTTAATTTTTTACTACTGAATTGTTTCCATTATATAAATATTTATAATTTATTTCTGTATCCTCCTACTGACAAACATGTCAGTTGTTTCCAATTTTATGTTATCACAAAATTAATGTAATAAAAGTCTTGGATATGTCCTTTCATGCAAAAGTATGATGCCTCCCTTATAATGTATCTAAAACATCTGAATTGTAAGGTAAGTGCTCCTTTTACAACCAAGATCAGTGTGTCCAACAGAAATATAATGTGATCCACACACACAATTTTAAATTTCCTAGTTCCCATATTTAAAAAAATTGAAAAGAAACAACATCAGTAATATATTTTATTTAATATTATTTAATAACATATTTTACTTAATACAATATACACAAAATATTGTTTCAAAATATAACTCATAAAACTTATCAATAATATATCTAACATTCTGTTTTGGTACTCCTTCTTTGAAATCCCATGTGTAGGTCATCCTTCAAGTTCAGCTCAGCCCAGCTTACCACATTTCCAGCACTCGACAGCCACATGTGGCTAGTGGCTACTCTCTGGCTCAGTGTAGTTCTAAATGTCACTGAATTACTTGCCCAAGTATTGGTACCAATATAGGAGACTTCCAATTACTGTACATCCTTATCAACAATTGTTAGCAATAAATATTTTCCATTTTTTGCCCGTCTGAAGGTTAAGCAGGAAAAAGATGTCAGTGGAAAACTGGAGAAATCTGATTTAGAAGTCTGTAGGTTAGTTAGTCTTGTGCCAAAGTTAATTTTCTAGTTTTACTAATTGTAAATTTGGTTACATAAGATGTTAAAATTCAGGGACGTGGGTAAAAATCTTACATGAACTCTGTACTATGTTTCCAAGTCTTCTTTAAGTCAAAAATTATATTGAAATAGAAAGTTTTTAAAAACCACTCCTTAATTGAACTTGGATTTCATTTTTCCTACAGGTCACCGGGTGTAACCACTTAAACAGGCTTTCCAAAGTTTGGACGTGTGAATTGGAAGCATTTTTTATTTAACTACAATAGGAGATGGAAGAGTTTAAGATCTCACTCTCAGTCTGCTCTATAATGAAGATCGGCCACACCTTCTGGTGTCAGTGAACCCCAGAGGCAAGGCCAGAGAGGACGGAAGCTGCCTCTGGGGACTGAACTTGGTGCCTCTGTTGTGAGTCCTCACCTTTTCGGTCTCATGCCACTTCCCTGTATGCCTCTAAAAACGCTGGTCTTAGTCTGCCTTGCATTAAACATAACTGGGCAATTAGCACAGAGCACTTTCTCTCTGTTGGGTTAAATAAAAAACCACTGTATTCCTTTGAATAGCGTGCAGGTCATGCTAATGAATGTCTTGACCTGAATAGATGATGATGGTAACATTCCAACCCTTAACAGAAGTTAGAGGTTGAAATACCACGCTTCCTTTCACTCGTATTTATCTGTAACCATAAGTGGTGTCTTTTTCCCCACAGTATTCCTCAGAAGTCTTCAAAACTGCCTTCCACTGACTAAAGGTTTTAACCAAGAAGAAGAAAAAACAAATAAGCAAAAAGCTCCTAGCCCGCGGCCAGATGCTGCCCTACTTAAAGTTATTTAGAAATTGTGACCTCCTGTGAGCCCGCGGAAGGCAGCTGTGCGGACGGGGCGAGGGTGTTCGGTGAGGAAGTCGTGGTTTTTCTCGAGCTCTCTGGGCACAGATGCCCACATCTGTGCCGCTTTCAGATCTGAGATTCTCCAGAAAGTTCCCTTCTGCATCCTCCAGGCAGCCTTTAAACCCTACTTACAGTTCCTGTGATGAGTGAGCCTCCTCTGCTTAACAAAATACTCAATAAGCGCTCCCTTGACTAGTAAACAGCCAAGCAAACCCCCCTGTTAACCATTTTTTAAAAAATTGAAGCATCGTCAGTGTACAATGTTGTGTCAGTTTCTGGTGGACAGCATAATGCTTCAGTCATCCGCATACATGCATAGAGTCCTTTTCATACTCTTTTTCATTATAGCAAGTTCCCTTTTTAGATGAGCTCTGAAGGTCTGAAAACTGCGGGCTGTTCAGAGTAAGCATCAGGGAGGGGTGGGGTAGCTCAGGCAGCGACAGTCCTGAGCTGAAGCACCTTCCCTTTAATTATCACAGGAACTGTCAAAACACACCAGAAATAAGTGTTTTGCCTGTGACGCTACCCGAGAGATCCATGAAGGCAGCACAGTGGAGGGAGCCGGAAAGGTCCATCCAGAGAGAGGTGGTGGGGCATCCCCCGCCATCAGTTCCGTCTAACTCATGATTGTGCTTGTGACTTACATTGGATTTTTCTGCCAGAATTCTCAAGGTTGAGGTTTTCAGTCGCATTTCCTCCCCAGCGAAAGATGTAATTCCCAGCATTCGCTCACACAGGGTGTCTGCCTGCAGTCACAGTTTTCCTTTCGGGAGCTGCCTGAGTCCTGCTTGAGGCATCCGACTGGAGCCTTCAGCCACGGCGTCCACCCTGAAGCCCTCACGGAGTAAAGGGTGTCCAAGCGGAGGTGACAGAGCAAGGCTCTCTTTTGGCTGATGCCGCCCAGGACTGACTGTGGCCACTAGCTTTCACACCAGCATTTCTTGAAGCTTCGGAGCCACTTATTCAGCCTGAAATAGAACCCCCTACCTTGGCACCACCCTGGAAGAGAAGTTAGCCAACTGTCAGCGGGAACACTTCCCTCATATCAGTTGTCATGGGGGAAGTTCCAGAGTGAGACTGAAATTGAGAAGGAGAATGGATCTCTGAAGACAGGGCAGTGGGTTCTCATACACCCAGGTCTGAAGTTGATCACCGGGGAATCTGATCTCAGTTTACGGGATGGGAAGGTCCGGGGTAGGACACCAGGGTAATCCATCACCACTTCTCTCCCAGGGTGTTCTTGGCTGAATCAAAGTCAAGGCTTTGCAAAGGACCCAGGGTTCATGCTTCAAACAGTTATGGGAAGCGCCCTGGAGAGATTTTGTTTTGATTCTGTTTTGTACATGTTTATGATCATAGCAGCAAGCAGTCACCCCTGGAGGTGCCGTTTGAGATAAGAGGCTGTTCCAGGCACTGACTGCTGTCACATCTCTGTCACCCTCAGTCAGGGATGTGACTCAGGGCAGACATGCCTGTGGCTCTATTCCTCTGAGTAATAAATCATGTGAAAAAGTAATTCCATTGTGGGGATATTTGCTAACTCTAACCATCAATTTGTTGAAACTTCCACACCAATTAAATTCTAGTACTTATAAAACTGACTTGTCTTAGAGTGGATACTCTGTGGTCAATGGAGTCATAGGCTCTGGGTGTGTGTCCTTGCTCTGCCCTGCTCAATGAACCAGGGAAAGAAAATATGGTGGCATGGACAGCCCTGGGGTATCCAATCAGACACCCAGCACCAAGAACTCCAGCCCTAAATTGTACTAACTATGCTAACACTCACTTGCTACCTAACCTCTCACAGCAGTGACTGAGTGTCTATCAAACAGAGATGAAACTGTCCTTTTTTTCCTGGGTCCCTGTGAGGTCTGATGAATGCACAGAGTGAGTTCTCAATATATATATTTCTTATTCCATGTGTGATCTTAAGCAGGTTTAAAAAAAATCTCTGAGCCTAGATGTTCCACTGTAAAATCTAAGATAAATATCTATCTCATTGTATTGTAGTAAAGATGAACTGATATATGTTGGGAAACATGGTGCATAAGTTCTAAAAATCTATGAGGCAATTCCTACATTTGTAAACCAGTGTGCCCTTCTAGTAAAGATCTTTTGAGATTCTTCAGGAGAAGCGTGATATATCAGAAGTGAAGGGACTTATCTTAAAATGTTTCTTGAGTCATAAGTAAGAAGAGGAACATGAGAAAGCATGTAGACATTCAGATGCGTGTATCTACATGTCAGCATTAAGGTGAGTCTAAGAACACGTGACTGCACGAGCAAAGACACTTGAGAACTTGACTGAACGTGGATATTCTCCCATCACAGTATTGTGAGTATATCACGTGACAAATAATCAATCACTGATTCCTGGAAATGGCCACTTTAATATGAACTAGTGTGCAGGGCATCCTGCACAGCTAATGTGTATCTTTCTCATCTTTTTTTCAACCTGTTTCCTGCACTGCAAAGAAACTGACACAGGATGCTTGTGAAACGAGATTTAAATTTTCAGTCCAGACGTGTTACAGCTGAGCAACAGAAAGCCCCTAGATTTCACAGAACTCAATTCTAATGTTTTTCTAATGGAAACCCCCATGGTTTGCAGGGTTCTCATAAAGCACCTTGGAATCATATGATTAAAGTCGATCTCACACTTCTTTCTGAGCTTGCTGCCATCAAAGCGTCTTCTCAAATTTTCAGGTCAGCACAAAATGTTGTCCTACTAAGTGATCTTGAAACGTTAGCATGAAGAACTCTGCACAGAATTTCCCTACACTAAAAGTCACAAAATACACTCAAAGTCATTATGCAATAGATGAATTTGAAACCCAAAACAAGAGGGAATTTTTTCCTATTAAGTATCTTTTTTTAAACAACTTCATTGTGGTATAATTTCTGTGCAATAAACTACACATATTTCAGACATACAATTTGATGAGTTTTGATAGCTGTGTACACCTATGAAACCACCACCACAATCAGGATCCCTAACAATTCCATCACTCCCCAGGAGGTGCAGATATCAAACTCCCAATTTATCCCCTCCCACCCCCTTTACCCTCTAGGAATCATAAGTTTGTTCTCTGTGTCTGTGAGTCGTAGCAAGAGGGATTTTTGATGAGGGATGTCCAATGAGGAAGGCAGCCCACAAGTGATGTCCTAAAAATCCCATAAGATGATACATTATTATTCTAATTTTGAACTGAAAGAGCTCAAGCTTCTAAATCAGACTTGAAAATTACATAAAGGCCCTAACCCCTCATTAAAAACCACAGTCTTCACACACTGATGAAAATTTCCGTGAGGAGACCTGCAGGGACACAGTGGTCCCTTTCAGCTATGGAAGACAAGTGGCCAGGAAAGAGCTTCAGTGATGAGCTGAGGGCTCCACACATGGGAGATAATCCCCAAAGGAGATTCCAACTTGGGAAAGACACAGATGCATAAAAGAAGCTACCAGGGTGGCCCTCAGGACTACACAGGATGGGAAAACCCTGATCTGCATGGGAAAGACGTTCTCTTCACGGAGCTGAGAGTCTTCAGGGCTCACTGGACTCACACACTGAAGGGAACTGGTATCTCCGAGTCCTGTCAGCTTTCATCACACAAAGCACCGATTTTGAGAATCAGCTTAAAACCATCGATCAAGCAAGGACTCTGAAGTCAGACTTTAGCTCTATTCCAAGTTTTGACACATCCAATTTGAAAATTAATCTCTTTGAAACTCAGTTGTTTATTAAATGGGGATAATGACATTTGTCTCAAAGGATAATGTCAAAGGTTGGATCAAGTCATCTAAAATACCAGAGATGATTTTACAGCTGTTGTCTCACTTTATTATTAGCTATCATTATTAATTTCACAATGAGCATAAAATTACTTCTATACCAAATCGGAAGGGAAAAAATTGGCCTGTGTGGCCTAGGGTACTATTTCCCTTGAATCATGGGTGTATATAACAAATAAAAAATTGACACAGAGAGTTGCACCAGCAAGGAGCATGAAGTCTCCTGACAATCAGCCTCTTCCAGATCTTTTTACTTCCCTGAGTTTATTCCTTTCCAGACACAACAGAGCAGGATCCGCTACGTGAGATCAGTCTTGGATGCAATTTTCATTTTCAGATGCCTGTACTGTAGCAAGGTGTCTTTTTACTGGTCAAACTATTGCAAATATAATGTGCTATTTCCTGCAGTGAGAAGAAGGGGAAACTGGTGCATGTTATTTTATGAATGAATTTCTAGAACTACCTGTGACACATCCAAACCTGAGAGTTACCATTTGACTTAAGTACGCCAACAAAGCAAGTGACACTTCCTTAACCGGTGAACAGGGTTCTGAATGATGGAAAGTGTGGTCTAGTGGTTAGGACAAGTGGCTGGAAGTCATGCTCCCAGGAGGTGTCCCTGCCTCTGACAGTGACACGCTGGTTGACTTCAGACTAGTCATTTGACAGGTATGAGCCAATGTGATCATTTACACTACTTCTTTTAAACCTCAAATGCCACCACACCAGAGACAAAGTCCAACACTTCAACTCCGAAAACTATAAATCCAGGTCACTTGATAATCAGTGTGATTCTATTCTATATAATCTGTATATGTATTATATTATATTTATCAGTAAGGGTAGCAGGATCAGCACAACAGTTCTCTGAAGGTCAACACAGTAAGCAAATAAATGTATGAATGAAAAGTGAAATTTTGAAATGAATGAATCGTTATCAACATGTCATGTCGTAGTAGGACGGAGCCAGGACCAGGTACTACTGATATCACATAAAAATCACACAAAAACTACAGTCGCTGGGTTTAAGGATGTCACCAAGCTGGGGACTTCTTTCCTCAAAGACTTACCATTCTCGGGCTCTCGGGACATCAGACAGCGAAGAGCAGCGATCCCTGCGAGACGGGAAACCCGGTGCCTTGAGACTGCAGAGCTGACTGTTGGGAGCAGACATCCCAGCTGCGCTGAGGCGGCGGCACTGGGAGTTCAGGGAGAACAAAGTGACTAGAGTCAGCAGGAAAAAAAGGAAAAGAAAAAGAAAAACCCAGCTATAGGGAAATGACTCTGCCCAGGGACCCGCTGCAGTGTTAGCCGAATGCTGGTTAGTGCTTATCTGTGATGAAACCACCAGAAGCCAAGAAAGGACCAGTTAAGAGGGTAAGAAGGAACAACACTCAGATCACACAGGGACAGAACTTGTCCCAAAAGCCTGGGCGGAAGACCTAAAATTCCAGGGGCATCAGGTAGAGTACTGCATGGGGTCTTGCCTCAGAAGCAGGGAAAAATCAACCTGTGACAAATCGTCGCTTTGATCCCATCTAACAAAGCCTGACCTGGAAAAATCAAAATGTTTTCAAATAATGTAACCATGTCTACGAATATTTATAAGAATGAAAAAATATCTAGCACCCTAAAAGGTAAAATCATAACTCCTGACATCTAATCAGAAATTACCAGGCATGCAAAAAGAAGCCTGGAAAATATGACCTGTCATGGTGATGAAAATCAATCAGCTGGAACTGCTCCAGAAATGACACAGATAACACATCTAGTATACAAGAACATCAAAGCAGTCGTTAAAACTGTATCCCATACACTCAAGAAGTTAGAAGATG